TGTGCAGGGCTGTGCAGGTCTTGGGGGCATGGCCGGCAAAGCAGAGATTGTGCATGGCTGGGGGGCATGGCCCAGTGAAACGGAACCCCTGCAGGGCTGTGCAGGCCTTGGGGGGGTGTGGCCTGGTGAGATTTTGCAAATGCTGTGGGAGTCCCTGGCCTTAAGGGCTCATCCCACAGAGATCCTGCAGTTCTGAGGGGTGGGAATTTGGGGTAACACAGCTCTGGTGGGGCAAAGGAGCAGGGCTGGATGATTGGAGATCCCACAGCATGTGGGGCAGTAGCTCCTCATGCCTATGGGGCAGGGCTTAGCCTGCAGCACCTGCTATTCTTTTAGTATATGGTGATGTGGAGAGGCCTCCCACTAGCTAGGGGTTCAGAGTGCTGATGTTTCAGCACTCCCTGGTGTTCTTACTTGTCAAGCATGTCTCCCAGCTTCTTATCAAAGTCCCTGGGTCACAGAAGGTCAGAAGTCTGTGGCGTGTTCCGCCGCCATCTTTGGATCTGCTGGGTAAGAGATCCTTAGGTTGAAAGTTACTTTCATTCAGGGCTCAAATACATCACTCCATGCCCTTTTTTGCTTTTAAAGGTTTCCATGAGAAATCTGCTGTTGATTGTGATGGGATATACCTTTGTATTGTTATTGTTTGTATCTCTCTTACAGCCTTCACTTATTCTTTCTCTATTTCTCTATTCTTTGCTTTTTAATGATAGTATTTGTGGGGAAGTTCTTATGTTTTCAGGTCTGTTCAGTGTTCTGGAGGCTTCTACCTGAATAGGCATAGTTTCTCTAGATTTGGGAAGTTTTTCTGTTATTATTTTGGTTGAATATATTGCACATTCCTTTTGCTTGCACCTCTTCTCCTTCTTCAATGCCTATGATTCTCAGATTTGGTCTTTTGATGGAGTCAGTGAGTTCTTGCCTATTCCTTTCCGAGGAACTTGAGTTGTTTGACTAATAGCTCTTCAGTTTTTTCTTTAATTTCTATTTCATCTTCAAGTTCTGAGATTCTATCTTCCACTTGTTCTGTTCTGCTGGAGTGGCCTTCCACTGTGTTTTGTGTTTCTGTTTTATTCTTTTTTCTGAGGTTTTCCATATCATGGGTCATTTTTCTCTTTGATATTGTCTATTTTCATCTTTAATTCATTTATCTCTCTATTTATAGTGTTCTCTGTTTCACTTTGGTGTTTATTTAGGACTCCCATTCATTCATTTATTTGTTTCTGTGTCTTCGTCTTCTCATATTCTTTATTTTTGGTATCTTGAAATTTCTTGAGTACCTCTTGTATGTCTAGTATCATCTCCATGAAATTCTCCGTGATTACTTGCAGGATTTCTTCTTTGAGGATGTTCTTATGGACATTGTTAGGTTTCTTGGTATCATTTATCTTTGTTTTGTTGGTGTCCAGACTGGGTATCTGTTCTCTTCATTTCCCTCTGAATCCTGTTTAAATTATTTTGGCAGAGAGAATGGTTTCTATCCCTTTTTCCTCTTCCCATCACTCCAATTGGTACTATGCAACTATGCTCTTGATAGGTTAGTTGGTGGTTTCAGTCACCTGTTTTCTTTCCTTTGATTTAATTTTGTTTTGTGGATGTATTGGGTTTTTAGCTAAGTGTGTGTGTGCTATTTCTGTCCCTGGTCTGGGTGTAATTTAGTATTAACTAATTCACAGGTTTACTACCTGACCAGTAGTTTATGTGTTATCTAGAAGATCCCCTGGTGGTAATATCCCATAGGAAAGTTGATTAGACGGTGGGCCACTAAATGGGGAAGTGGGTGGGGAAGTGGGAAAAGCAGTGTGGGGGCCTGCTGTTTTTTTTGTGGTCCTTGTGTGTTGTTTGGGTATATTTTCTGTTGTTTGCAGGAAACGGGTGTGTTTTTGTTAGGGATTTTCAGGGGTTGGGATTGTGGTAAGTTGGTTACGAGTAGTTTGTTCAGTGGGTATGAGTGTGAAAGAGATGGAGGGGTAGTCTGGTGGACAGGTCTAGGGAAAGAATGGTGAGGGAGGTGGAGCAGGAAATAGAAGTGAGGTGTGAGAGGGGGAGAATAAGTTAGGGATAGGAAAGCAAAATAGGTTTTAGCACAGGAGAAAGATTAGAGAGTGAAGGGGTGAGAGTAGAGATGAAGGATATGATGGTTAAGTTTGATAGTTATAGAAGAAAAAAAAAAAGAATGATAGGAGTAAAAATAAAAATAGAAAACCCACAATAATAAAACTAACAAAACAAACAGAAAAACCCAAAGAAATCAATGGGGAGAGATGAACAAACAAACAAGAAACAAAACATCCAACCAAACAAAAAAACTCCAGGTTCAGGAACAATAGAATTTTAGTCTTAGTTTAAGTTCTGGTGTTACTCCTCCAGTATCCAGTCCTGGTGTTGGTAATTAAGCAGAGCTCTGTCATAGTCTCACCAGGTGGTTGGCTTGTAGGTAGTGTTTTTTTCTTCTGTCTTTCAGTGGCAGCTGCTTAGTCAGCTCCTCCCTTAGTGAGGCATGGCAGTTTACTTTTGCACGTTGTCCTCCATTGAGAGATCAGCTCTGTAGTCCACCAGCTGTCCTGCTTTGGAGGGGGCTATTAGCAGTACTTATTTACTGGGGCTTGCTTCTTTGCCCACCCCTTTCGTCTGTGCAAGGTCGTTGATCCCTGCTGTCAGATGGTGTTGATAGTTCAGTGTTTGTTTTTCAAATTTTTGCGCGAGCCATTTGACTTTGGGTTGCTGCTCTGGCTCAGGTAGATGAGCTTTGTGGGTTCCACTACCTGTCCTACCTCAGCAAGTGGACCTTAATCACCTGTCTACTCTCGGCCTTCCTGCCTTTCCAGGCATTTGTTTACTGATAGTTCACACAGTGATTAGCTCCTTGCCTCTTCCCTTCTTCTCCAGTGTATTTTCAGTTTTTCTGCTCCCTCTGCTGTGTGATAGTTTTCAGTTTGTTGTTTACTGCTCAGTTTTTTTGTTTGTTTGTTTTTTTGAGAGGTAGTCAGTCTGCCCAAGGGGGCCTATGCTTGGTTTTCCCAGGGGTGGGGAGGAAATACCTGGGGTTGCTTAGCCCCACTGGTATAGTCTGCTTGAATGTCTTCCAAGCAGGTTTTAGAGCCAGTGGCAGTGGAGACAGTGGTGACTGGCAGCAGCCCACCTGTTTTCTCAGTGTAATGTGATGTGGAGGCTAGGGGTTCAGAGTGTCAAAGTTTTGATTCTCCTTGGTGCTTTATTTCACCAAGTGTGGCTCCACTGTCTCAGCAAGGTTTTTGAGTCATGGAGCTCACACTGTCTGCTTCTGCACTTATCACCATCTTGGACCTCCCTGTTGGTTGTTCGTTGATAACTAGCTATTCTAACAGGAGTGAATGAATTTTAATTTATGGTTTTTGCATTTGATTTTCCTTTATGGCCAGGATGGTTAGCACTTTTTTACGTGTTTTGGCCATTTGGACGTCTTCCCTTGAAAAAGTTCTGTTTAGTTCAGTTTTCCCACTTCTTTTTGGTTCATTAATTTTTTGGGGACTTTAAGTTTTTTTTTGATTCCCCTATATATTCTGGTTATCAGTCCTTTGGATGTATAGCTTAGCAAATATTTTTCTCTCACTCTTGGGGTAGTCTCTTCAATTCAAGACCATTTCTTTTTGTTGTGCCAAAAGCTTTTTTAATTGCATGTATCCCATTTGTCCACTCTTTCTTTTAGTTGCTAGGCTGCTGGAGTTTTACTGAGGAAGTCCTTGCCTTACCTGTTGTTTCCCAAAGTATTCCTGCAGGTTTTCAGGGTCTGATATTACAGGTCCTTAAATCCACTTTGTTTGATTTACTTGCAGGGTGGACGGCAGGGATCTGGTTAGTTTTTCAGCAAGCATATAACCACTTTTCCCAGCAATGTTTGTTGAAGAGGCTGTTTTTTCTCCATTATATATTTTTGGTGACAGGCACCCTATTGATATTACACCTGGCTACAGCACTTTGATATTTGGAAGAAATAAAATGGTTTTCTTCAACGATAGCCTGCCAGGCAGGAGGAGTAACTGTCACACCAAATTGTCCTACTGGATTTAAAGATTGTAAAAACTGTGGCCTTATACTGTGGCTAAGTCTGTTGTCACCAGTTTTGCCTGGCTTACTGTTTGGTTATGGCTTCAGCTTTCTCTACTCTCCTGGGGACCTGGAGATTGAAGCTGTGGACTGTTTCCTACTTTTCTCTGCATAACCTTTCTGTTTGTGTTTTTCAGTTATCTCACTACCTCTTTCCTTCTCTTCTTTCTTTTCTATCTTTGAAATATAGTCTATTCTTTGTTACCCTCACTCTTCTCATTCTCTGTGTCACAAGATGGAAGCTTCTAATCTGCCATCTTGCCTGCAACTCAAATCTTTCCTACTTTTAAGTTGCTTATGTCAGATATTTCTGTCACAGTGACAAGAAACTTAACTAACACACTCTAAAGCTTCCTTTTTCATTCTGTCTGTATGTGTAGACCTGATAAAACACAATGTCCCACTTCAGAGTAGTAAGAATTATTTTGGGTAATGCATGAAAGTATTCAGGATAATTTGGCATGTTACTTATTAGTTCTTATTAAGTGATGACCATTAGGAACTCTTACAAATTTATTTCTAATAAGAAAGTAAATTTAAAGCATCATATCAATGACCTTTCTTTAAGATGACCTGGGAAATTGATGTGGATGAAAGGTTGATGAAGATGTGTGGTGACTCTTTAAAAAACTTTTTGTACATTTTTCAGAAATTACTTTATTCCATCAAAACCTTCCTTTTTATTTTTTATTCCCACAGAAAGACAAGAAAGCAGATTACACTCTTAAGTAAAATGTCAAAAACTGTTGGAGTATGACACATGTCATGTTAAGAACCAGCCATTCCAAGTGCCCACTTCAGTCACTCATCATCTGGAGACACTCTTTTACAGCTGCCATCTTGACACCCTGAAGAGGTGAACTGAGGCTCAAAATAACCAGTGACATCTGTTATCATGATATAGAAACAAAGTGCTATTCTGGCCCTTTTTTATCCAGGGGGGACATGTATGCTTCTTGATGTTCTTTCTCCATTGAGCTCCTTCCTTCCTCCACTTTCTGGTGGGACCTCATCATCCTCAGGCATTCTCTGTCATTCTCCTCCTTTCTCCTCTTAGATTCCTGAAAGAGAAGGGCAAGAAAAGGATAGACACACATTTCTCCCAACAATTAAACATGAGAAAGCCTTGATCATGTTGCTGACTTCCACATCTTAGTTCTAATAACAATTTGCACAAACCCAATTTATTGTATTCTTAAAGGTTTTAGAGAAGGAATAGAGGGGCTTGTGCCTGACAGACAGTCTGAGAGGAAAGCTCAACCTGCACATGACTGTGACTTTCTTTTGTTGTATTTTTTCTTGTTTTGTTTTGGGTTCTTTTGGTGGGGAGTGGTGTACTGGGGTTTGAACTCGGGGCTTCACTCTTGCTAGACAAGTGTTTTACCACTTGGGCTATGCCTCCAACACTTTTTGTTCTTATTTTGGAGATAAGGTCTCTTTTTGCCCAGGCTAGCCAGGAACATAATTCTCCTATTTCATATTTCCCACTGTTGCTGGGATGACAGGCACATGCTTCCATGCCCAGCTTTTTTCCATTAAGATAAGGTCTTGTAAACTTTTCTGCCCAGGTTGGCCAAGAACCACTATTTTCACAATCTCTGCCTACCATGTAGCTTGGGATGACAGGTGTATTCCATTGCACCCAGCTACTTGTTGAGGTGGAGGTCTCATAAATCTTTTCCCCTTGCTGGCTTTGAACTGCAATCTTCCTGATCTCAGACTCTCCAGTAGCTAGGATTACAAGTGTGAGCCACAAGTGCCCATCTTGACTCTTGGTTTCTGAGGGATGTGGTTTAACAGTATGATGAAATTAATAATTACCTAAAGCTTTTTTGATATGGAAAATGAGATCACCCATAGAATAATTCTAACCTCTTCATCAAATTATATAATAATTTAAATAATAGCACATAACAAATATGTATATAATATTTACATGTATTAAGTATTATAAGTAATCGAGAGGTGATTTAAAGTGAATGGGAGGATGTGTGTAAGTTATATGGAGGTGTCACATCATTTTCAGAAAGGACTTGAGAATCCACAGATTTTAGTATCCTGAAATGTGTGCAAGAACCAGTACCTTGGGAACACTGCACATACATTTTTAAATTTGCAGACAAATTCCTTTTTAAAGTAGCTATCTTTTGAAAAGTATATAGATTGTTAATGGAAAAAAGTTTTAAAAGAATCTATATATGTTGTAAAATTATAATTTTGCATTGATACATTTTATAATGTACTCTTTAAAAAATAATATAAAATAAAATATTTAATTTAATTTTAAATTAGTTATTGTAATAAACTGAGTGTCATTTTCAAAGCACTCATCTCTAGTTATGAAAGAAGAAGTTAGATGTGTCCTCCTCACTCAAGCTTGAAGAAGACAAAGCTTCTGGGTTTCCTTTCCTACAGTGGCTTAAATATTCAACAGCTCTGTTACATACCAAAGAGACAGAGTGTTTGGTTTTAATGTATAGTTGCTGTTCAAAGGACTTTGAAAATTTCTGAATGTTGGAATGATATTGTTCTTTAGGTTCCAGTAGGTCCTGGGGTGACACATCCACTGAACATTTTCTATAATACTGCATCCGAGTATGGCTTCGGAATTGCTGGTCTTCATGAGAATGTCTTCTTGGAGGGCAGTCAGATGATGTTATTCTGGGAAGCACAGGAAACTGGGAATATAGAAGTTAAAAATTTTACAATACAAAGAATCTGTACAATACTAGAACAAAAGCAGAATGACTATAAAGTACTAACTAAACATCTCATGTGAAATTTTATCTTCTTGAGTCAGAGCTTTATACTACATAAGGCCCAAAGCCTTATTAAAATTTTTAGTAGAACATCCCAAGACGAGATTTATTGCTTGCTACTTTACCAATAGGACAATAAAATGATGGGCTCCGAGCTTTGAATTGACTTGTCAATATAAAATCTCAAATAATGTTTTAAAAAAAGCTTGATGCCATAAATGTTTCAGAAATAATATACAGACGAATTTATATAATTTCTAAGTAGAAGAAAAATGGGAAAGTTAGAAGGAAAAAATAACTATATAAAATAAAGCTTACATGTATCAAAAGCAACATAAAATTAAACATCAGACAAAACTAAAAAAGTTGTTACTAATGTCAAACAAACATGAATCCTGAACATGAATAAGTATATCTTACACACATGTAGACATGTATACAAATAATACAATGACATCAATGTTAAAATCACAATCAGAAAACTAACAAAGCACAGACAGTTAGACGAGCCAAACTTCTTAAAAGAATTGTGATGCAGAGATTGAAAAATCTACCCTAACATTCATTTGGAAACACAAAAGACCAAGAATAGCCAAGGTAATACTTAGCAAAAAGAGCAATGCTGGAGGTATCACAATACCTGACCTCAAACTATACTACAAAGCAATAGTAATAAAAACAGCAAGGTACTGGCACAAAACAGATATGAAGACCAGTGGAACAGAGTAGAGGACCTGGATATGAATCCACACAACTAAACTCACCTCATTTTTGACAAAGGTGCCAAAAATATATGATGGAGAAAAGACAGCCTCTTCAACAAATGTTGCTGGGAAAAGTGGTTATCTGCCTGCAAAAAACTGAAACTAGATCCATGTTTATCACCCCTGTACTAGTATCAACTCAAAATGAATCAAGGACCTTAATATCAGACCCAAAACTCTAAAGCTAGTCCAGAAAAGAACAGGAAATACTCTGGAAGCAATAGGTATAAGCCAGGACTTCCTCAGTAGAACCCCAGCAGCTCAGCAACTAAGAGAAAGGATTGACAAATGGGACTACATGAAATTAAAAAGCTTCTTTACAACAAAAGAAATGGTCTCTAAACTGAAGAGACCACCCACAGAGTGGGAGAAAGTATTTGCTAGCTATACATCAAAGGACTGATAACCAGAATATACAAGGAGCTCAAAGACCTGAACTCCCCCAAAATCAATGAACCAATAAAGAAATGGGCAACTGAACTAAACAAAACTTTTTCAAAAGAAGAAATCCAAATGGCCAAAAAAACACATGAAAAAATGCTCACCATCTCTGGCCATAAAGTCAATACAAATCAAAACCACACTAAAATTCCACCTCACCCCTGTTAGAATAGCCATCATCAAAAACACCACCAACAACAAATGCTGGCAAGGATGTGGGGTTAAAGGAACCCTCATACACTGCTGGTGGGAATGCAAGCTAGTGCAACCACTTTGGAAAACAATATGGAGGCTTCTTAAAAAACTAAACATAGATCTGCCATTTAATCCAGCAATCCCACTCCTGGGGATATACCCAAAGGAATGCAACTCAGGTTACTCCAGAGGCACCTGCACACCCATGTTTATTGCGGCACTATTCACAATAGCCAAGTTATGGAAACAGCCAAGATGTCCCACTACTGATGAATGGATTAAGAAAATGTGGTATTTATACACAATAGAATTTTACTCAGCCATGAAGAATAAAATCTTGTCATTTGTAAGTAAATGGATGGAACTGTAGAACATCATCTTAAGCGAGGTCAACCAGGCTCAGAAAGCCAAACATTGTATGTTTTCCCTCACATGAGGACTTTAGACTTAAAACAAATGCAGTGATATTATCGGACGTGAGTCACACGCTAAGGGGAGAACACATACAAGAGGAATAGGGAAAGGTAGGAAACCCAAAGTTTGAAAGTGTTTGCTGTGCCCACTGTAGAGGAGCTAATATAGTAACCGTAAAACAACAGAGGTCACTATAGGAAGGTGACCGGGAAGTAGTGACGAGGTCTGGTAGAGATGAATTAATTCAGGTTGTAATACACTTGTGCATGGAAACAATGCTAGGAATCTCTCTGTATAGTTATCCTTATCGCAAACTAGCAAAAATGCTATGTCTTTCTTATTCTTGCTTATGTCTTCTCTTCAACAAAATTGAAGAAGAGGTCAGAACAGGTTCTGCCTGGAAGCAAGTAGGGTGGAGGGAGAGGGAGGGGGCGGGGAGGGGCATGGGTAGAAATAGCCAACACAATGTATGCACATATGAATAAATGAATAAATAAACAAAAAAAAAGAATTGTGATGATTTCTCAATTTCTCACACTCTCTAACCCACTCCAATCTAGATTCCACACCCGGATACGGGTCTCCATGGTGGCAAATTCTGTGCACTTTTTGGTCTTTATCTCAACTGAGATATTGATTAACATTCAACTTAGTTGTTCATAAGGTTCTTCTGAAAATACTCTTTTTCCTTGCCTTTTGCCACTGTCCCTTTAATCTTTCTACTAATGTGATTTAGATATTTTTGTTTACATCTTCCTTCTATCAGCTCGTAACCCTTGGCATTCCTCCAAGATTCTAGTGTAGCTTCCTTTCCTTCCTTTTCCTACTCACCTTAACGATCTCAATATCTCATCCTTGGGCATCTATTTCTAGCTATCATCTAATTTCCTAATTTATATCATTAACCTAGACCTCTGCCCCCTGAACTCCTGCCCATTCAACTTCCCTTGGTATTCCATAGGCACCTAATTTGACTTGTTCAAGTCAGCACTGTAAATAAAAGTTATAGGATGACCCACAGAGTACACTAGAAAATCAAAGTAGCATGATCCATGCTAAAATTCCAAGTCATCAAGCCAAACCTAAGCTATTTATCTGAACTTCCAAGAAATCAGAAATGGAGACAGACAAATTTTCCAAACAAGTTAGTTTCAATTGACATGATAAATGAATTTCCTGTTTTAATGCTTACACAAAAGAAAGGACATAAAGTAACTTCTTGTTAACCAATTTATCATTTTTCTATTGTTCTGTCTCTCTCTATCTCCACCTTTTATTTATTTTTTTAATGTTGTGCTGGGTGGGGGGTACATTGTGGCATTTACACAAGTTCTTACAATGTATCAAATATATCATACTTGAATTCACCCCATCCACCATTATCCTTCATTCCTCTCTCCCCCCATTCTTGGAATGGTCTCAAACACCTTTTAAAAAAGTAGCTTTGAAATGATCAATGTGCTTTTTGTTCTGTTTCTGTTTTTTCCTTCAATTATTTCTGTCTTTAAAACCAACCTCTTCTCTCAGCCAATCTGTACACTTATTGAATTTCATACAGCGGAGAAGTGGAGCATCCACCAGTGCACATCTCCCAACAAATACCAGTTTGAACAGCTATTCATGCACCAAACTACCGTTACAAGAAATAATAGGAAAAGATCACATTGCAGAAGGCAAGAAGAAGAGTTCCCAGCATCACCTTCTTCCAATTCCAAGCTATGCAAATAAGAGAGATACAGAGAGAGATTCCCCTTGTGGAAGAAAAAAGGAATTAAGTCATGGCTTTAGACTCAAAACCCAGGACCAGGCCCACAGTGGTGAAATACAGTGCCAAGCAGAACACCCACAACCCCTATCCTATGCATTAAACATCTGGAACCATGTTAGACAGGTGACCAAGGCATTGCCACCTTCTCCTAACCTGGAGCAGCAGATGGAGGAACAAGACTCTGTTCCCACTCTGGAGCAGAAGAGCTTGAAAGTTAGTACAAGACTTTGCACAAGAGTAGCAGCATCAATCCTTGCTACTCTGAGACTCAGCACCATGAAGAAACCAAACGCCCCTACACCCACACCAGAACTTGCAAACTAAACCTCTACACATGCTGCCAACATCAGGTGGAGTTTTGCACCCAGATGGGGTAGATTTATGTTTCTGCCTACATCTTTGCCAGATAGGGCATGGGCCTGTGTACAGCCCTGAGACTGTGCAGATCCCTGTGGCTGTGAGACTCAGGTACAGCCCAGCTTAGTGTCGGTCCCGAGTGCCCATGGATTGCCTTCATCAACCATACCCCAACTTCAGACAGCACAGCATGGAGCAAGAATACTCACCAGGGGCAAGAAGGTTGTTGTTTTGGAACTCAGTGTCAGGCTGGTGAAACCTAACAAAAGGCAGATCACAGTGGCCCCCAGCCCCAGGCACGTGTCCATAGAACCTCTGGAACAGTCACAGTGCTAGACTGAGTGAGACATGCCGCCCCAGAAGCCAACATCACTTATGGCTGGTTGCAGCAATCTTGGGACATAAATCCACCTAAGCAGCAAGCATCCCATAGCAGTGTTGGCCTTTGCATTGTCCCAGTGCTGCACTGGTCTCAGTGGGCATTGGCCTGTGTGCTTGTGGTTTGACCCAGCATTACGGCACTGATGACCACCAAGATCTCCCCAAGTCCCAGCAGCACAAAATGGAAAGAATAAATTTTTAGTTAGGGGAACTAAAGGGAGGCAGGCACCAAGTTGTAACAGGGGAGCCTGAACCTGGTCCTTTCATAGTGATTCTGTCCACAGCTAGGCAGACTCCCACAGTAACCTGGTCAAAAGCCAATGGCTATGGCTGAGGTTTCTGGGTCTACCCCAGGCCAGGGAAAGATTTAGGAGAATGGACTACCCTTTTTAGGTACTCCCTTGATTCATCCTATACAGGACACCAATTCAAGATTTGGTACACAACTGGCTGGGATTGCCTTCTAACACTGAAGCAGCAGTAACACCAAGAATAGACTTGTGGTAAACCTTGACTTAGGCGCCATCTAGTGCTAAGATAGCAGAAGTGACTATAGGCTCAGAAAACAGGCAGCCTTAGAGGCAGGCACAAACAAAAAC